TTTCATATAGATATCACTATCAAGTGATCCATACAAGTAAGCTGTAACAACATCCATAAGACACATCTCTAAATTTTTAGATACTGCCAAGCTGATTAAATATCTGAAAGTGGTTGCATCCATTACCGGTGAATAAGTTTCTTCATAATCAATTCCAGGTCTTTGAGAGAAACCTTGAGCAACAAGCCTGGCCTTGTATCTTACAATTTCGTCTTTCTCATTTCTTTTTCGTACGGAGATCCATCTATATCCTAATGGTTTCACAACTTTAGGTGTGAGGATAATGTTCCCAAAAACCTTTCTCTTGTTAAGAGAATTTAATTCAACTTGCATAGCTTCCTTCCATTTAGCCCAATCATTTCTTCTTTGACATTCAATGACAGATTGTGGTTCGGGATCATCATTCATAATATCACATCCAACTGAATAAGAAAATATTGCACCTATATTGTCAGTTTCATTTTGGTCACATATTCTATTTGTCTGACCATAATTTAATGCATCATCCTCCTTTCCTGGGGGAATTTGAATAATTCGTGTTTCTCCAGGAACACTTTCATCGTGATCTAGTGCATTTTCTGCTCCTCTTCTTTTTCGTGGGTTCTTATCCTTAGAACCAAATGGCCTTCCACGCTTCAGGCGTGTTTTAGACTCTTGAGTGACTTTATCATCAGATTGTCCATGTGGAATGTCAATTCGAGCTGGAACATTGACAGCTGGTATATATGATTTAGTCACCCTTTTTGTGTTAGTAAATGCATCAGGTAATTGATTTGCCATTTCTTGGAAATGCATTATCTTTTGAACTTCCATGTCACATTGCTTTGTGCGAGGGTCAAGATATGATAAAGTAGGCTCATGCCATGACACATCCTTTTCCAGAATCTTCTTTTCTCCACCTAATGATGGGAAATTTGCCTCATCAAATTGACAATCTGCTAGGCGTGATGTGAAAACATCACCTGTTAATGGTTCAAGATATCTTATAATAGAGACTGACTCATAACCAACATATATTCCCAACCTTCTTTGAGGACCCATTTTTGTCCGTTGAGGTGGTGCAATAGGGACATATACTGCACACCCAAAAATTCTCAAATGGGATATATTTGGCTCTTGACCGAAAGCAAGTTGTAGTGGAGAATATACATGATATGAACTTGGTCTCATGCGTATCAATGATCCAGCATGTAAGATTGCATGGCCCCAAACAAAAACAGGAAGTTTGGTCCTCATTATTAATGGTCTAGCTATTAGCTGGAGACGTTTAATCAGTGATTCAGCTAAACCATTTTGTGTGTGTACATGAGCAACTGGATGCTCAACAATAATTCCTACAGACATACAATAGTCATTAAATGCTTGTGAAGTAAATTCACCAGCATTATCAAGTCTCACTCTTTTGATAGTATAATCAGGGAAATGTGCCCTTAATTTAATAATTTGGGCAAGAAACTTTGCAAATGCCATATTACGAGTTGATAATAGGCAAACATGAGACCATTTGTTGGATGCATCTATTAAGACCATAAAGTATCTAAATGGTCCAGATGGTGGGTGAATCGGTCCACATATATCACCTTGAATTCTTTCTAGAAATCTAGGTGACTCCCTTTCAACTTTCATTGGAGAATGTTTTATAATTAACTTTCCAAGGGAACAAGATGCACATGGTTTTATGCTATTGGATTGAGGAAACTTTTGGTCCTTCAATGGATGCCCGTGTGTATTCTCAATTATCCTTCGCATTATTGTTAATCCTGGGTGGCCCAACCTATCATGCCATAAACTGAATGTCCCAGGATCACAATGTTTTCCTTCTACTACCATATTTGATTCAATCATATGTATATATGTATAATTCAGACCAGAATCAAGTGTTGGTAGTTTTTCAAGCACATGGTTTTTGTCTATAATATACATATATTTCTTATTTTCAATGGTCATAGTTTTTGTGTCATAACCTTTGAAATATATGTCATTGAAACTTAATAAGTTTCTATTAGACTTTGGAGAAAATAAGGCATTTTCTATACAAAAGCTTGTACCATTTGGTAATATAAAATGGGCTTTCCCGGTTCCCTCTATCAAGTCTGCAGGACCTGATATTGTATGTATGACTGTTTTTGTTGGTACTAATTCTGAAAAATATTTCTTTGATTTCAGAATAGTATGTGTACTACCACTATCTGCTATACAAAGATCTCCAATCTTTTCTTGGTGTTGTGCTCCAGTTGGGACTCATATTAAACTTCACATATAAAAGGAATAATAAGTGAATAAACATAATCATAATTATTATTAAAAAGAAAGCTTATTTATTGTAGGAAAGACATTACATGAAAAACAAACGAAGGAAAAACAGTTTTACTAGAACAATAATAGATTTTTTTTTTAGTTTATGTCTTCCATGTCATTATAGAAATCAGCAACATTTAGCGGAGTGAATTCAACATTATCAATGAGGTTTGCTTCTTTTCCTTTTCCTTTAATGGACTCTTGATAAAGTTGACAAAGATGTGCAGGTGTACGACAGGTCCTTGACCAATGGCCTGTGCTACCACATCTATAACATGAACCATCAGATTTTTGTGATGTCCCAGTGTCATGCCTTGCCACTTTGGCCTTATCTTGTGTGTGGACATTGTTTCTTTGTGAATATTGGTAATTATTTCTTTTCTGGCCACGACCACGATTATTACCTTGTCCACGACCAGAATTATGGTTCTGATTATGGCTTTGGTTTCGATTAAAATAGCCACGGCCTCGCCCTCGACCACGACCTTGCCCTCGTCCACGTGTATTGTTTCGATGACCATCAATATTTGTAGCATTTGCTTCAGGAAGTGCTACTGATCCCGTTGGACGAGATTCATGGTTTTTCATTAAGAGTTCATTGTTTTGCTCTGCAACGAGCAGACATGCATTCAGTTCAGAATATCTTGTGAACTTTTGCATCCGATATTGTTGCATCAAAGTAAAGTTTGTTGCATGAAATGTTGAGTAAGTTTTCTCCAACATATCTTCATCAGTAACCTCTTGTCCACAATACTTGAGTTGTGAACATATTCTGAACAAAGCTGAGTTGTATTCATTTACTTTCTTGAAGTCTTGAAATCTTAGTGTTCTCCATTCATCTCTAGCATTTGGAAGTATAACTTCCTTTTGATGATCAAATCTTTCTTTCAAAAGATTCCAGAGAATACTTGGATCAGTAACATCAAGATATTCAAATCTCAACATTTCATCAATATGCTTACGAAGGAAAACTTGTGCTTTTGCTTTGTCTTGTGCCAAGCAATTATTAAATTCATATATAGTATTTGAGATATCCATGGATTCAAGATGCATTTTTACATCTATCATCCATGGCACATAGTTTTTCCCACTAACTTCAAGTGCTGCAAACTCGAGCTTTGCAATGTTGGACATAATGTAACTTGATTAAGATAGATGTGATTTTCCACTTGTTTAATAACCTTGATTAGAGCTTTCGTGCTGATAACGTGTTATGAATTAAGCGTAATTAATGTAACTATAAATCAAACCAAACTAGTAAACTTTGATAAGAACTTTAATTGAGAAGAAACAATATTTAGAGAGAATATGAAAGTTATATTTCTTATAACTTTTGGTGTGTTTCATTATTTACAATGGAGGGGTATTTATACTACAAATTTTACTAACATATAATTGTAACTAGTTAGAAATGTTGACAAATTTACCATGCACCAATTATTATGTCATCCACCAATTATTTACAACACCACCAATTATTTACAACATATATATATATATATATATATATATATATATATATATATATATATATATATTTAAATCCAACCCCAAGTTTGATTAGCTTGTCAATTTTAACCCTTTATTGTTTATTTTCTAATTTCAAGCCTAAATTGATTGTTTTCTTTTATATTTAATCATTTATCGATTCATTTACTAATAACTTTCTTTTATTATTTATGTTTTATTTTCTAAATTTTCTTTTACTCATTTCGCTCAAAACTTCTACACCCTATATGAAAATATTACATAAGGCGGGTTTGGTCCTAAAAACAACAAAAAAACGAAGGAGAGATGATGTCAAAGGGACAACACTCATTGGGAGTCCAATAGGCAGAATTTTAGACTTGGAAGATAGTGGAAAACATAATTGTCATAACAAAATATCACATAAGAAACAAACATTTGAATATGCTCCAAGCTAGCTCACAACCCCACTTTTGGATAAATGAGTATATGCGTTTATATTTCGTCTATCTAGAAATAGCTTACAAAACTAAATTATTTGTATATTGAACGTTACTTTATGTTTTATGCTTGAAACACAAATCGTTTTCATATAATATCTCACATTATAACATCTCACATTTGATTTTTATTGTTGACCCAAATATGAACGATAAATATCAATATGAATCTACATGATTCAAAGATATTCAAATTCATTGATTACCAAATCCCAAGGTTCTAAATAACGTAAGGCGTGACTTGGCGGCAATGTCAAGTTTCAAGCTTTTCCGAGCCTTGGCGAGCCATGTCGTTTGTAAGGCGTGACTTAAGGCGACAATTTTGTATATAATTCATATTTTTATATGTATTTTCAACTATTATTTATTTTTATACATATATATGAGTCAAGGCGGCGTTTTGGTAAAGCTTGGCGGCACATACAAGCCTTGGAGTCATGACGTGCCATGGCGGAGTTTTTTAGAACCTTGCCAAATCCTTTATTTATCTTTTTTCTCTCATACACAGTTCGGAAGAAAATGTATTACTTAACTATGTTTGCCCATAATAAACCTTCGTCTTTCTTGAAGAAATTGAAATACCAAACTCCAAAAAAACTATATTTTGTGTCGTGTCAATAAATCAAAATAAGATTGTATAAGAGAATCTTGGAATTTTAGAATTTTAATGTTTGATATTTTGAGCCCAATCAAAAATCCCAAAATCGACAATTATCAATATTTTTTATGTAACCCAATAAGTGTATTCCACCTGGCCGATAAATAATCCATCCATAATTCAATGCCCCTTTTTTACCCGGGCTAATTCAGTAACCCAAGTACTCTGGGGACTGGGGGGTTCGCCACTGGAACAAAACTGTACGGACAATTCCAATCTCTCGTAAGTTTCGTTAATTTGAATATTTGATTTGTTGTGATGCGGCTTAGATCTTAGTTACAGTCGGATGCTCGCTTAGAAATAGATAAATTTTACAATTCGTTTCACCCTTAATCTGTCATTTCGTTTTTGAAATCCTTGATCCATCGTGATTGGGCTTTATGTGAGCATCTTCGTTTTCTAGATTTGAACTTTGTGGAATATTTAATATTACGTTAGATTTGCCATTGATTCGATAATTGTTTGAAATTTTAATTAGGCTTAGTATTTTAGGGCATGACCGTTTGGAATCTGTGTTTCTGTTTGGTGTTTTGGTTTCGTTGCCTTTATTTGTTTGGTGATTTCATGATGCGTCTGAACTGTACTGGTTTTAGGTGTCTGATAATATACTGTATATACGAAGTGATATAGCTGTATTTTTCTTTAGCATGCCAGATGTGGCGTCTATTTTTATATCTAACTGTAACCTCTGTAATTGTGATTGATGATTTTGGGATTTTAGGTTTAACATCCGGGTTGATTACTAGATATGGGGGTTTACCTAAGCACACCTAAAACTGATAAAACATCCGACGATGGTGAGAATGAGAAACTGAGATATGGAGTCTCATCCATGCAAGGGTGGCGCACATCAATGGAAGATGCTGTAAGTCCCTAGTATAGGCTACTTGTTAGTTATATCTATATTCTAAAAAGGCATGATAGTTTAATGCTCTTATAATCTTGTTGGGTTTTCTCTATATCTCTCTATGATACAACCTTCAATTAGCCCAAACATTGATCAATATAGTACTTACCAAGATTTTATGTGCCAATATGAGGTGTTTGGTAGCATGCTGCTTTACTTGACTTGGACAACTCCACATCTTTCTTTGGCGTTTATGATGGCCATGGAGGTAAGCATATGGATATAGATTATACACACACACACACGTTTGTTTCTTCATATAAATGGGTGTTGTACCTTTATCTAAACTTGCATCTATAGTGAGCTGTCCTCACTAAGCTTTTTTTATCTTGCAGGTCAGGCAGTCTCTAAGTTCTGTGCCAAATATCTTCACCAGCAAGTCCTGAAGCAGGAAGCTTATGCTGCTGGTGATATTGGAACTGCTGCCCAGAGATCTTTTCTCAGGTTACTCTTCTATGTTATTTATTCACTAAGCAAATACATGGCTGTTTTGTCTTGTCTGTTATCTGAAGAAATTGGTATCTTTATGCAGAATGGATGAGATGATGTGTGGACAACGTGGCTGGAGAGAGTTGGCTATATTGGGAAATAAAATGGATCAATTCAGTGGCATGATAGAGGGACTAATTTGGTCACCAAGGGGTAACGATTTAAAAGGTCTAAATGATAATTGGTCTACTGAGGAGGTACTTTCTTCCTTCATACACACCAAATATACTGATGTCTGGATGAAATGAGTTTTTTCAATGTATGTATGTATGTATGTAGGGACCACATTCTAATTATGAGGGACCCGCATGTGGCAGCACAGCTTGTGTGGCAATCATCCATAATAATCAACTTGTTGTAGCAAATGCTGGTGACTCTCGTTGTGTCATATCCCGCAAGGGTCAGGTAATAAATGTTATTTTTGTCACTATGATAACTTGTATATGTTTTTTCCATTTTCATTCATGAATCATGAATATGCATTCAACTTTTTATACATACAGGCTTATAATTTATCAAAAGACCATAAGCCTGATCTTGAAGTTGAGAGAGAAAGGATATATAAAGCTGGTGGTTATATTCATTATGGTCGAGTTAATGGGAGTCTAAACTTGGCTAGAGCTATCGGTACTTCTCACTTCTTTTTTTTCTTTTTTTTAATTTCTTAGAAAACCTTTTTTATTACCACCATTATATCGTTCAGGTGATATGGAGCTGAAAAAAGATAAAACACTTCCCCCTGAAAAACAAATTCTAACTGCAAATCCTGATATAAACACGGTATGTTGAAGCATTGACATTATGATTTTTCAGGCCATACGTAGGTAGCAATTAGCATCATAAGTTGCTTAAAAACATAAAATTTGCTGATGAAATGCTTATGATTGTGGGTCCAGATAACATGATTTGCTTTTTCCCATTCTTCCTCCAACTAGGTTGAGCTTTGTGATGATGATGATTTTCTTGTTCTTGCCTGCGATGGAATATGGTAAGCTCTTTCTATTTTACTTCCTTCATTTTTATATTTTAGCTTACAATATGATTACACAAAATTGCATTTTGCCAGATCTCATAACCATTATATTATAAAATACATGTATTACTTAAAGTTTTATTATTGTTATTATTATTATTATTATTATTATTATTATACAGGGACTGCATGTCAAGCCAGCAACTTGTAGACTTTGTTCATGAACTACTAAAAACTGTAAGCCATCAACACAACATTATACTTATACGCTGCCTTGTTAGGTTCCTTTTGTTACACATGACCACACCGGACAAACTCTTTAGAGTAAATTACAAGTTTAGTCCCTGTGGTATGTGAAAAGTTATGGGTTTAGTCAAAATATTTCATTTCTTGCACATGTGGTCATTAAAGTTTGGTTTTGTTGCAAAGTTCATCCCTGGTACACCGTTAGTGTCAGGGACTTAATTTGCAACAAAACCAAACTTTAGCAGCTACCAATGCAACAAATGAAACAATTGGACTAAATCTATATACCACAGGGATTAAAGTTGTAATTTACACTATTTTCTAACTTGTATGATGAGAATATGACCATTAGCCATAAATGAAATGATGCAGGAAAGTAAGCTGTCAGTGGTGTGTGAGAAGGTATTTGATAGGTGTTTAGCACCGACCTCTGGTGGGGAAGGGTGTGATAATATGACCATGATTTTGGTCCAGTTCAAGAAACCCCAATCTCAATCTGGCCCATCTACTTCACATTCACATCCACCACCCGATTCATCTAACGATCAGGAAGTGCCTGGATCAGATTAGCCGGGTAATCCTGTCCGTTGGTTCGGTTCTTCTCAACATGATTTTTGTAAATGTTGATTTTGTTTTTGTTTTTGTTTTTGTTTTGTTGTGTTCATGGGTGCTTGGGTGGTGACATACAGATACAGTACAGATTATTACTGAATGCTGTTTTGTATTAGCATCAAATAGACAAATCTCGGATTCATGCCTGGATTTGACTCTGACTTGTATTGTATGCTGTAAGAGTCGTACATTGGCTTTCATTTTGAACCATACCTGATAATCTACTTTCTTAGAAAATGAAGTGCTTGTATACACAATTTTTTTTTATTGAACTAGTTAAGTTGTCACTATGTGCATATGGGAATGCTAGGGTCCCACAAATGGGGAATCATGCATCATCACTTGTACAATATAACACCATTTTTGTTGCAATAGACCGCTTACATTTTAAGTTAAATAAAAAGGTTAAAGTTGAACTCAACCAACCAGCTTTTTGCATTTTTTTTCATAGTTCTCCCACTCTTTTAATGGACGATTTTGACACAATTCTTAAGGGACCACTAGAGGGTTTTAGGATTCTAGTTTGTTCTTATTGTGTACAAAAAATGTTCATTGAGATAGCACTTAATTGATGAACGATCATCTTGCATGTGTGTGAATATTGACTGAGGAAATATATTTTGCTTCTTTTGCATATGGTTGTTTGTTTATTGCTCATAGTCCCCTGTTAATCTTTTGTGGGATAGCTTGTATTAGTTCCTAATGTGTTTGTCATGTTTTGGTAATTATGAATCCCAACACTGACATTGAAGTTTGAAGGAATTGTGGGAGCTCAACTCATACGATCTCTTGCATAATCAGATACATGTTCATGATCCTAAGTCCTAACCAACATAACAATGAAAACCTAAATAGGTCAAAAAGAATTCTATTTGAAGTATATTGATTGTCTACACAAACAAAAGGAACAATTTAAGGACATCACATTTATTGGTCCACTAGTAAAATAAATCTCTTAAGTGAATGTTCCAAAGGTATCACTTACATATTCTATATATGATTTAGTTGTTATACTTTATCTTAGTAGCTTAAGTTTTCTTGATCAAATTTTATTCATATAAAGTATTGTTGGAAAAAATTGGGTTTAACCCTATTTAGACAATAAAATCCTTGTCTTGTCTAATCTCAAGGGGTTTATATTATCCTATTTTATGCCTTTATTTTTTTTTATATTGAATGTCCAAAACAGATGAATGATCGTTAATCACCTAAGTATGGTGCCGAGAATTTGCTTTGTGCTCAAACTGCATGGTGCTGAAAAATGGTAGATGCTGAATTTGTTATCTTAAAACAGAATTAGGCACATTTTCAAGTTTAGTTTGTTGTGTTTAAATACTGCCTTCCGGTCCATAGAATGAATTATACAATGAACACTATTTTGCATCTCTTTGCTCTGCTAGCTAATGCAGAAAACTCAAGATTTTACACTCATGTAAAATTTTGTAATAGTGACGCCTGGTGGTTCTAAAGAAACGTTTTTGTTTGTTGTATCATTCGGAAACAAACATCTAATTAGTTTAAAAAAATTATATCCAACACATGCCTCACTTGTAATACCATTTACAAATTCGTTTATATTTTTGTATATATTATCTAAGAGATATCACTCAATGTTTTCATGATGACTTATATATGAAAAACATGCTTATTTGTAAATACTTTCAATATTTTTGTAAATTTCTATATTTTTTTTATACAGAGAAAATTGCAAAATGGTTCCTGTGGGTTGTTTATTTATTTGGATACCGTCCAACAAGTTTTAAAGTTGCGCATTTTGTAATTTTGGCATAATTTGATGGTGGATTTGGTCATGTGAAACTTGAAAAGACTAACTTATCCCAAAGCTATTTCTTTTTCAATTTTGTTTATTTATTTGCATTAATATCCCCCTAATAAATAAATAAAACTTTTTTGCCACATGGTATGCTCTCATTCAATTTGACAAATGTCAATTTGTGGTAATTTTGAATTAATCTTTTTTCCAAATGTCATTTTATGGGTTTTCCTACTTTATTAAATTCCATATAATATTTTAATGTAATAATTACAATAAATATAGTAATAAATGGATATCAAGTTCATTAATAATCTTATCTTCTAATTTCAAAAAATTTAAATTAAAGTTTATTGATTTCTTTGTTTATTTATTTGAATTATTTATTTAAATTTAAAAGATAAAAAACATTTCAATTTTAATAATTCTTTATTTTTTATTTTTTTTATAAATTCAAAGTTATCAATTATTTAGACATTCATATTTAACTTTTTTTTTAAAAATTAACTCATGTAATACATTGGTCTTATACCTAATGTTATTATAAAGTAATAAATGGCCTCACACCCACACCTCATCCATTTCACTCCCACCTTCCTAAAGTCAAAGTCATTCACCCCTATAACAACCCCTTTTATCGGTGACTTCATACCCTATCACAGGAGAAAAGCTCAACATAGACTACACCCCCACACTTTAACCCTTCATCTTCCGCTGATTGTTGGTGTCACTTCTCCCTCTTACTTATCCACGTATCTTATTATCTATCAATCACACAAACCCACCCATCTCATGGTTACATCGAGTTCCTACGTAGAATAAAAATATCAAGAAAATAAATGTGTGTACCCAGTAGGATAAACATTTTGGATGACTTTGCTACATGTAAAAATCGATTTATCAGATAATCACAAGTCTATAAATCAGAAGAAATCGATCTTGAAGATTCCAAATCGTTATCTGCCTTGATACAGTTAGAGGAAAATGACATAGATAGTGTTTTAGCGACGGTTTTATTTTAGTTTTTCTATATAAAAGAGAGTTGATTCTTCCACTGATGGTTTATTATCCATCCACTGATATTTAAATTTCTTGACATTTATACCTTTATATCCTCACTTTAACTATACCCTTTTTTGTTATCAAACCTACGTCCCCCATCTCTCTCACACCCACGCACACAAGAGCAACACAATCCATAATTTCATATTAAGAACCCAACTTTATCTACAATAACCATTTCGTACCATTTCTTCCGTTTCAATCACTAAATAATCTAAAGACGCTTCTCAACATATTTCAATACAAGTTTTAGAAAAATATATTACTCCACGATATAGCAACTGAATTCAAATAGTTTAAATTTCAACATGTCGAGATCCAAAATTTTGGTTATCAATTTTAGAGACATGAATCGACTGAAATTTTGCTTTTTAATCATAAAACATCGGAAAAATGTCAACGGAGATTAACTTATTGAACAAATCATACAAGAAGCTGAAGCCATAGAACTAGAAACTTGTATAAATCTGAAAAACCTCATAGGAGACCTTCAGACTCTTTTTCTTTGAGTAACTTTTTTTTCTTGGAGGACAAACCGCTTCGCCCCATTAAGCTTCTAATTTACTACTAATTTCACCTGCGATCAAAATACATAAACAACAAAAAGGAAAAGGAAAAGAGGGAAAATTTTGGTTCCCTCACGATGCTCTGAGCCACCAAACCACCAATAAGGGGTAAGAGAAGGGGACCGATCAAAGTGTATCTAAAGACACCTCTACGATTTCTATTTGGTTCTCTCATGAAGACTTTGGTTTAAAGAGGCTTTTGATATTGGGTGCTTTTTCCAATCGATATCAAAATTGTAGATGGAGCCGATACTCCATGGCAGTGGTGGTTTGATCGGAGATGGAGTTTGCAGAAAAATTAATATGGGTTTTCTATGGCTTAAAGCAAACCCAAGACTTATTCAAATCGTGAAGGGAGAGATGATCGATTTGAGTCTTTCTAGTTATTGTCATTTGATCGAACAAGAGAATGAGAGAAACAATTTTTTTTACAGTGAATGAACGGTTATGAAGAAGAGATGTGTGAGACAGGAGGAGTAGACGTGGGTTTTGAAACAAAAAAAGATTTTTTTTTCTTCGATAACCATAATTAAAATAAGGGTATAAATGTCAATAAATATAATTATCAGTTGAAGTTGAAGGATAAAAAGTTAATGTGGATTATGAGCTCCCTATATAAAAACCAAACATGCTAAGATATCAAAATTTTGTAACCGTCTCGCCCTAAAATATAAATTTCTCAATCGAAATTAATATATATAATAATATAAGAATGAAAAAGAAAAATAAATATTTTTTAATAGATTTCATGCCGATCGAAAGACCCACCGTTTGTTTTGGATGGGCCCGGGTTTTCTCATTGGAGTTCGAACGTGAAGAATATGACTCCAAATTTGATTGCGTCAGATTCCAACCGAGCAACGGCAACCACGTGTGTCGTATGCATTTTATGCAATCATAGACGGCGGTACACCTCGTCACTTCTCAATTTCTCATTCATCACGATTCACGAAGATGTAGACAATTCAATGATTCATGCATCTATAAGGTTATCTATGCTTCCGAATTCTAATTGAATTGTTCGATTCTAAAATTTCCATATGTTGCTTGTTGCAGGTTATTTGATCGCGTCTTGAACTGTTGCAATTCAGTTTTCGTTGAGTGAAACCCTAATTCTTCGATATCGGATGAAGGAAGTAAGTGATTGTTCATATAATTCACTGATCGTTTTCCGAGACTGCAATCGCGTGAATTATATAGTAAAGTTGAAGGAAGATCAACCCAACCCTCAAAAAAATCGATTTGTGCAAATTTAAACGATAGTGTCTGAGGAGTGTACTATATATACATTAGAATCACTAGTATTTGTCAGTAGAGTTTGTGTTTCTGACTTGCTATTTGTAAACGAAGTAATCAGGTGCATAATCATGTCGAATAGACAACCATAATATGTCAAAAGGAAGCTATAATGCCCATAGACCATAGTCATTACAACACATGAAGTTTTTAATACCTAAATATTGTCGCATTTCATTGATAGAATTGTAGAAATTTAGGCAATATTAACCATCTTTTGCCACATTACAACACAGATACTTCCCACCAGTGCTGAGATTATCACACTTGACTGGATTGTATTACATTTTAAGTACTTGTTTTCTTTTGGAAGGACCAAAATTTAGAGGTTTACTTATTGTTTGGTGTCAAAAAAGCTAATATACAGTGGCACCTAAAGTTGTATTTGGAACATTGTATCAGTATGTAATCTGCTGTTGGTATGGTTGATGATATAAATCAAATAACTATGAAGAATGAAAAGCAAATTTGCATATCAAAAATCAAAACTACATGTTATTGTGTAATCAGTTGAATTCAGATTATTATGAAAGTTTGTTTAAGTCTATCCATACATGTATCTGCAGTTAGAGCTCTCTAATGGAAGACCTAAAAGAACGTCTCCTCCCATCAAAACCTGCATCTGGTATAAACCCTAGAGATGCATCTTACAGGCGCCAGCCCTTCCAAGGAGTAGATGTCCTGGGCCTAAAAAAGCGTGGGCAAGGGCTTCGATCATGGATCCGTGTTGATGCTGCATCTGGGGAAGCCCAAGTTATTGAAGTTGACAAATTTACCATGATGCGTCGCTGTGATCTTCCTGCACGTGATCTTCGTCTTCTTGATCCATTATTCGTCTACCCCTCAACAATTCTTGGGAGAGAGAAGGCTATAGTTGTGAATTTGGAGCAGATTCGGTGTATCATAACATCGGATGAAGTTCTTCTTTTGAATTCTCTCGACAGTTATGTGTTACAGTATGTGGTGGAATTACAACGAAGGTTAAAAGCTGCAGGGGATGCAGGTGATGTTTGGCAATCAGAAAGCTCTGATTTTAGCAGATGGAAAGGAGTTAGGACTTTTCGGGATATGTTTGGAAGCCCTTCACCCGACTATCTTCCCTTTGAATTCAAGGCTTTAGAAGTTGCTCTTGAGGCTGCTTGTACATTTCTGGACACGCAGGTTTGTTGAATTGATCTGACTTTCAATCTATTTATTAGGATTTAATGATGACTAAATTGTGATCAATCTGACCCTACATCATTTGCCTCTTTATAAAAAAAAAATGTTGTTTAATTTGATCAGGCATCAGAATTAGAAATTGAAGCATATCCGTTGCTTGATGAACTCACATCAAAGATCAGTACTTCGAATTTGGAGCGTGTTCGTAGACTGAAAAGCAGACTAGTTGCTTTGACTCGTAGGGTTCAGAAGGTCTTATAATATCCTCCATCTCTTCATGCTTATTAAATTTTTTTACACATTCAAAATTTATAGAGTAAATTACAAGATTGGTCCTTGAGTTTCTTGATATTTTATAATTTTCATTTTGGTCCGGATTGTTTATTTTCCTATCAATTTTGGTCCCTTTTTCATACGGTGTTTAAATTTCCTCCATCATGAACAAAGCAAAAGACATGTAGAAAAGTCCATTTTGCCCTCATGTACAGTGCTGAAGAGAGGAAATCTAACAAACACGTATAAAGAAGGGACCAAAATTGAAAAAAAAAAAAATATATATATATATATATATATATATATATATATATATATATATATTAAAGGTTTGTATATAATACTAGGTAAGAGATGAGATAGAGCAACTGATGGATGATGATGGAGATATGGCTGAAATGTATTTGACTGAAAAGAAAGGGGGAAATGAGTCATTATTCTACAGTGGTGGTGGAGATGGATCTATGGCGGGATACAGATCAACAGATGGTACGCAATCTGTTTCTGCTCCTGTGTCTCCGGTTTCTTCACCAAGAGATGGAAATGGTAAAAGGCTTGAAAAAAATCTAAGCCTTGCAAGGAGCAGCAGGCATGATAGCATAAGGAGTTCAGATACTGCAACTGGAAATATTGATGAGCTGGAGATGCTTCTTGAAGCTTATTTTATTGTCACTGATAGCACTCTCAATAAGCTCACATCGGTATCTTCTTTGTTTCGACTTTATTTATATTAACTCATAACTATATTACAGTTTTGGTCCCCTAGCCCTAGCGCTAGCGAGTATACCTGATTCTTCTCTTGAGATAGAGCAACTGAGGGACCAAAATTGTAATTTACTCTGTCTGTTGTAATATTGGGTTGTGTCTAGTGGATTTGTGTTGTGATTTAGTTAAAAAGTTTATTTTTGGTGTAAATGTAATAGCTGAAGGAATACATTGATGATACTGAAGACTTCATCAATATTCAACTGGTATGTATGTATGTTACTGTTTGTATTGAAAAGAAAAGTAACATGATGATTGTGGATATATAAATGCACTGCAGGATAATGTTCGGAACCAGCTGATACAATTTGAGTTGTTGCTGACAACAGCGACGTTTATTGTGGCGATATTTGGGGTGGTGGCCGGGATTTTTGGGATGAATTTTGAGATCGGGTTGTTTACTAGCCAGTCTGCATTTAAATGGGTACTGCTCGTTACAGGGATTTTTGGACTCTTTTTGTTTGCTTCCTTTCTCTGGTTTTTCAAGTACAGAAGACTCATGCCATTGTAGACACCCACAGTACTACATCCTTCAATGGCATTGGATAGCAGAAGAAATAGGAACATTTATTATTTCTTCAATGCAAATGAAAACACACCCTATGGAGATTATTTGATAAAAGGGTTGCCTCATTTCCTTTTACTTTATGGATGTTTAAAACTATGCAAAGTCACATGATTCAGTTCAGTGAGAACCCTAGATTTTACCATTCTTACCAAAATACTCTCATTATTATTATATATGTACACAAATAGATACTGAAATAAATCAAATTAAAATATTATTTACATAGAAACAAAACTGTTTAAATATAAATAAACGTTTTTTTGTTTTAACAATTTTGTTATTAATTTTCATTTTAGTCAAACTTGTGACATTATAATTCATTTATATTCTAGTTCCTTTCTTCTTTTGACATAAAGCATTCTGCCAACTAAATGTCCCTTCAAAGCGTCAACTTAAAGATATAATAACTTGAGCTGCCAATTATTTCTATCTTTCAAAATCCAAATACAAAACACAAGAAATCATTCGCTTAACAAAATAATGTAAAAAACCAAAAGCAGTACTAGGTTGCACGAGTATTCTATAAAAGAAAACATGATGGGTGTAGATATAAGTTTATCATTTATTTTGATGGTGCAGAATGTAGACGTGCATTTCGAGCTCTATCAGCTTTCTCCAAGTAGTCTTGATGGGATTGATGTTTTGTACCTTTAATTAACAACAAACATCATCAGTTAGATCTCCATAAAAAATTAAAATCAGCAAATATGTAAAAATTAGGACTTTATAGTGACTTTTTAGTTTTTAGTTAAGTTGTCCTTTATGCATCAAGTCAAAAAAATAATAATAATACCGGATTAAGTTTTGTCCCCATTAAAGTCCCACTAAGGGGATGTTTTGTTTAGAATCAATGGGGTTAATGGGTTAAGCACTTAATGTGGACAGCCATACATGGCTAATTCTTTTCTACTTGATCTAGACATAATGACTTAATAAGTCAACTCAAAAAACCTGAGTTAATGTATTAAGACACCAACTCTATACATATTTGCCTTTTCTTTTCCTCCTAATTCATCTCACACTAAAAGCTTCATGAATATTGTGAACTTTGCTTTTGGGAATATAAGGGAAAAATGTTCATTTACTCACACTCAACCACTTTATTCAGTCTAGAAAAGAATAAGACCTTATGCATACAACACTTTATCACAACATGCAACAAAACTCTTCCCAACATTAACCTAACTTGACTATTCTTTTAACCTTACAGATAATCCAATAAGATGGTGCCTGGATATGTTATATAATGCTGAATAATCACATATAATAAACGCTTGCATGAGGCAGTGTATGAGTTGCTTATGCTACTTGAAGATGTAATAATCACCTTCATGGTGTTAGATGCATGAAAAAATATATGACTATTAATAGAAAGAGGTAAAAAAATCTAAGTAATTTTACTTAACCCTTTGGTAACAAGTGCAAACTGATTATGTGACCCTTAATAACCTTATGATACCCAAACAATGAAATCCAATTACTGAATAACCACTTCCAAAATGGAAGTCCACACACACCCTAGAATTAGAAATCTATTATATGACCCTTAATAACCTTACCCTTACTTTGCTAATCTTTACTGATATCTAACCCTGATCATGGGAGGCATTTTTTGCATCTTGATAATTTAAGCTAGCAAAAACATAAAAGATAAATCGACTGATCCTAGATGCAATCAATCAAAGCGTGAATAAAAACCCTAATGTTGAGATTAAAAAGATGCAATCTAAGTGACCAGTAACGACGAATTGATGGATAGAGAGAGTACCTCGGTTCATGAGGTACCATGGAACGCCAAAGAGGACGCCGATGATGGCCATGCCGGCCGCGACATGCTTCTTTTCACCACTGTAAAGGTAGTGCTCCATTTTTGCCCTAAATCCTCCATGATTCGCCTGGCTTACCATTTCTGATTTCCCCTCCACGGCCTAAACCCTCTGGTTTCTTTCCCACTGCCGTTTTCGTGCGAAGCAAATAAACCCTTCCGTGAGGAATCATCGGGTCAATAACGATGGACCAAATAATAAAAAGGGTAAATTACACAAATGGTCTATGTGGATTGGGGTAATGTGTGATTTCTAATTTCCTTTTTTGAACGGATTATGTTTTTGTTCCCTCTTATTTGACCAACTATTTTACATTTTTACCCTTACATCTTGTTCCCGAGTTTTTTTGTAAATTCATTAAGGAAATGAAATGAAAATTTTGACAGAAAGAAAGAAAGGTGAAAGAAAATATTCATTATTCCGTGTTCCTGAGTTCGAAGGAAATGAAAGGAAAATTTTAAGTTTTTGTGTTTCCGAGTTAGGAGGAAAAAGAAAATAAAACTTAAAATTTTTCTTCCCCTCACTTTCTTCCCAAATCCGTCCAATTTGGGAGGAAAATTTGAAAGGAAAATATGGCTCTAAAATCCTTACCCCGCTTAAAACATTAAATAAACTTACCCCGCCCCTAATTAGACGCCACCCCCACACCCTCCTTTTTACCTTTCTCGTATTTGTGTTTCCTCTTCCCTGAAAACCATCTCTGGTCTCCTGCACCACCACCCTACCTATCATCGGAGTTAAAGTTAATACATCTCTACCAGGTAGTCGAACCCTAGCCCTTATCCATTCCCACTTACACCCCCAATGGTCTCGTCGGAAAAGAAATCATTGACGACGACTATGGAATCACAAACCATATCCGCGGCTGGTTGTGTTTGGTGGTCAAAGCGTCGCTGACATCTGTAGAAAAAAAAAGTGTGTAACATTCGGATCCTTAAGGTATGAAAATGTAAAGTAAATATGAGTTCTTGGAGGGTCATAACGTGAAGGAAGCATCGTCATGTCATGACATGACCGCATGTCACACCCCCAAACCTGAACGGCGGAAACATTTGGGGGCGGAGGACGTCATGTACAGTATCATAACAATTGAATAGTAAAGAAAGTACACACCACCATAATATATATATTTGAAAAGTTTACATGATTGTTGTATTACATGTTTCAAAAGTCAAATACAATATGATGTTCCAAAAGATGTTACTAACGCCAGAGCATTAGTCCCCAAAAGCAGTTGCTAACCTGGTTTAGCGATTTCCTGAGAATACAAGTTATTTCAAAGAAAAAGTCTCAACAATTATGTTGGTGAGCTCATAAGTAGTTATTTGAGTAAATGCATGTCATTCGAAAGTTCGCGTTTGTTTTCCAGAAAATCCGATATTTTCTTATAAAATGAGTTATGAATCGATGTTGTATAAAATGGATGTATTTGGACCAGGAAAATCCTATATTTTCATAAAAGTGAGAAGTAGTCTTAAATCTCCAAGACTGTAATTTGTAAGTAAATATGACATACTTATACTGAAAATGCATAGTTTTATTAGTGAACAAAACTATAGGAAGCTTGTATTTTTACGTAAAATAATTGTAATATTACTTTTCCCGTAAAACATAATACCATAATAATTGTCTATCCTGTGAGTTTTCATAACCGTGCTAAGATGAATTTGCTTGCAGCAACGTTCTTCAGGCGTCGAAATGTTATGACACTTGTCACCCTTAACCTGCCGGTCCGGCTGTAGCTAACAGCCAGGGTGCGGGATCATCAGTCCCGTATAGATCTATACACACTTATCACGTTCTCCGGACGGAGACTCTGGTTATAAAACATGGCTTTCTTGTATACCTTGATAGTTACGATGAAGACGAATGACTCACATATTCTCAATTAAGTCACGTATTTTTGAAATGAATGTGTTTGTGTCCGAAATGATTACCCTTTTTACTATGCTGATAAAGGTATAACAATTATTTGTATTTTCTTATATATAAGTAATGTTATAGTTGAAATGGTTACCCTTTTCAAGATGTGTTATACAAACATAATAATAAAACATATTTTTATTTACAAACATACTTCATCCCGAGAGGGTAAAAATGGTTTCGTAAGATGTTTTGCATGCTAACATTTTTGTATGATAGTTATAACAACAACAAGGAATTTATAGTAAAAGATTGATGTTTTCACACGATTTTAACCGTGTGTTTACTTGTATTCCCCCCCCCCCCCTAAAAGTGTTTAAAAGCATTTGAAAGTGTAGTGATAGGGGTATGAACTCACTTGGTAAAAGTGACGGTTTGATGACGACGATGTTTAACTCGGGCAGCACTTCGACTGGAAAGAAGCAAGTTTCTCAGGAACTTCAGGACTCCGGGCTTTCATCAGGGCTTAGACACGTAACCGGGGCGTCGGGGTAGTTTCGAGGGGCTCTAAAGTGAGAAAATATGGGAGAGAAGTTGTAAATTGGCAAATAAGTTCGGAAGCCTCACATGCTTATTTATAGGATGGGAACCGACCTCGTACGTTGGGCGTACCTCTGAAGAACGCCGAGCGTTCCCGGTACGCTGGGCGTACTCGTGTACGCGGTGTGTACGTCATGCATGACGTCTTCGTTGGATACCGGACTTCGGATGGGACGGGATAGAAGGCAATAGGGAGACGTGGTCGATCTGAGGCCCTGCATTGTTTACGCTGGCCGTACCCTCGTACGTCGGGGCGTACCCCCTCGGTTTGTGTGCCCCAATCTTCTAAAATCCGTAACTTTCGCATACGAGCTCCGTTTTTGACGTTATTTATATCCACGCGTAGGTGAGAACATACACTACAACTTTCATTTAGACTTCGTCGGCAAATTTTGATTTTATTTTTATTTATATATTTTTAATAGGCCAGGACAGGAAAAGTCTGTTAAAAATTCATAACTTCTTCATCCGACGTCCGTTTTCGTCTGTCTTTTTACCGTTGTACTACTATTGTCGAGATCTTCAATTCTCGTTTAGGTCGCGTCGGCTAAAAAATCACTCGATCTTTATTTCGAGTTTTTAGCTGTCTACTGTTATTCTGAAACTTAGAAAAATCATAACTTCCTCATACGAAGTCAGATTTGGATGTTCTTTTATGTACGCTTACGGTTTAGTGATATCTACGAATTTCATTTAGATACTTAAGGCTAAAAAGTATTTTATTGAAATTTCGCGTTTTACGCTTAACAGTGTTTTACCGGTTTTGTTGCGGATCTTCGATTGGTCATAACTCCTTCGTTATAACTCGGATTTTTGTGTTCTTTATATTTTTGAAAACCTTGTTACGATATCTACCACTTAGTACATCCAAATTGAGGTTTTTGCACATTTCATTTTTGACGCTATT